TACAACACAGAAAAATACAAAAAGATAATGAAGATTTTCAAAACTTTTTTATTGTAACAGAAAAATGATAGAAATATTGAACACAAGTCCCACCGGATGTGCCAATTTGTTTACCATGAAATTTGGTAAACAACCGTTGGTCTTCCAAATCGAATAAAAATTGGTGACTTGTAGAATCGACCAGATTGATCCTAAGTACATGTGTTCTTATTCAAAACTTCTGTTCTTGAAACAAAGAATACATTCGACAACATTCTTATTCTTTTAAACAAAGTTGATTTCAATTGTTACTTCGTAGGTAGTAATGTAATGCTTTAAAGAAAAGACTGGAATGTAAAAGGTTTTCGACTGAAATTTAAAGGAAATGTATAAAACTTCAATTATAGTTGAATGACAATAAACATAAAAATGGTGCATCATACATACATTCTCACAACTCATTTCTCGAACGCTGGTACTTTGAGTAATTTAGAGTATTTTGTACAAAGATATGAACACACTGAATCCTAACGTTAAGACCCCTATTTATACTAATTCGACCAAAACGGGCTCTTCATAAAATGTTGCCACGTTCGACATCTGCATGCACCTTCGAACTCTATGCTTCCACGCGTCTCTTTGGATAAGATCAAACTTTTGAATTTGAAAACTCTTTGTCTTCGAAGCGCCAAATATCATAATTGTGACAGTCGAAAATATTCTTTATGATATTTCGAATAACTTAAATTCCAATAACTTGCATACGAACCCTTCGCCAACACTTTAATGAAAATGAAGCTCTTATTAACTTTTCATCTATCAAAAAAACCTGATCTTAACCACGTCGACAATAAAATCGATATTTTTTAATCATAACAGAGTTATTATTAACATGTAAGATCTTACAATTTAGCACTCAGTTTTCATTACATTGATCTAAGGTGTATTAATATTGTTGGTGGTCCATCAAAGACCTGTTAATATTTTAATTTTAATCATTTAATCTTTTTTATAAATAGGACATCGTTGGATCTTGGAAATCTATTGAATCTAATGGTGAACCATTAAGATCTAATTGTTTTTTGTTTTATTTTTCCTAATCTTGTTCCCTTTTCTTTTCCATCATCTTCTTTGTCAACCTTCATCCAAAAATCCAAAATATTTCAAAAAAAAAAAAACTAAGATTAAGTAAATTGTGTATTAATATAACGAAGACCAATACAAATAATTCATTCTTTTCAATTCAATTTCTCTATATGAATAAATTTATTAAAAAACTTTCCATTTTCATGGACAAATAATCATCTTATTCAGGATATATCATTTAAAAGGAGGCTATAAGATGTACAATCGTGCACAACAATAAATATGCGATTTTCAATGAATTTGAGGCATGTAGTTTGAAGGACACACTAGAATAAAATGCAATCTCAATCACTTACACCTGATCAAAGTGAAGAGTTAGATGAAAAAATTAATATTGAAGGCATTTATTAGTGATATACATTAGCTTATGCATCTGTCCAGCTGTATTGTTCTGATTGGCTTACTATTAGGCTTCTGCTATTGGTTGAGTTTGTTATAGAGGTAGTTATATATTGGTCCACTTGTAAAACTGATAAATAGCTTATCCTCTACTGTAACAATCAAGAAAGCAAATTCTGAATTTTATAGAAACTGCTCAGAGTGCAAATTGTTGAATGCAGAGCATTCTTCATCTTCTACAGCATTGAAGTATCAAATGATGAACCAAGAGAAGCTTAAACACATGCAAGGCCACAAAGAACAAGACAAGTTTCTAGTAAACTTGCAAATTGTAAGTTATTACTTGATAGTGCAATTAGTAATGAAGGTGAACTCATTCATTTTGCTTTGTTAGTTGACGTTGAGTCATTCATCTATGATAAGACAACGAAGATCAAGGTATGAAATGTCATAATTGGAGAACTCAATTCAATTGAGAGATGGTTAATCCACTTGAAAGGAAGAAAAAATCATTGATATGAAATAGATCTTTAAGCTCAAAATCAATAAAAATGGTAGAGTTCCAAAACATATGGCTAGGTTAGTGAATAGAGGCTTTTTGCATAAATGTCATATTGACAATAATGTGGTGTTTGCTCTTGTGGCAAAAATCGAAATAGTGAAACTAGTCTTGGAAATAAATAGCATCAGGAATTTGTCCCTCTATTACTTGGATGTCAAATCTGCATTCCTAAATGTTTCATTAGAAGAAATAATTTGGGTCACTTAACCACTAGGATTTGAAGTGAAATGTAAGGAGCACATGATGTACAAGTTGCACAAATCTTTGTATGGATTTAAGCAAATCATTAAAGCTTGGAACAAGAGAATTGGCCAAAAGAAATTATCCAAGTTGGATTAAAAGTGCAGAGTTGAATATGGTGTTTATGTGAAAAGTTCCAACAACTCAAGTATATCATGATGATATGTTTATATGTGGATGACTTGCTGATGATAATGAAGGTTGAGTTTGAGATGACTGCTTTAAGTAAGCCCTTTTTTTTTTGGCATGGAATTTGTGAAAGTCAAGGAAAGCATGTAATGCATCAACAGAAATATGTGAGGGAGTTATTATATAGGTTTGAAATGACTGATTATTACACAGTCACAAATTCATATGAAACAAATGCAAACTTTATGAACGCAATGATGAAGAAAATATAGAGGTAACCATGTATAAGCAAATTGTAGGACCATTGAAAAACTTATGCTATAACAGACCTGGCATTTGTTATGCAGTAAATATCATTAGCAATTTTATGAGTGAGCCTATGAAATCTCATCTAATGACTTCTACGAGAATACTTAGGTACCTAAAGGGAACCATAAAGTTTGACTTGTTATTTCCAGCTGTCGTGAAGGAAATGAAAGCAAAATTGATATTTTTTTATGCAGTAAACATCATTAGCATGTTTATGAGTGAGCCTAAGAAATCTCATATAATGGCTTCTAAGAGAATACTCATGTACCTAAAGGGAATCATGAGATCTGGCTTGTTATTTCTCGATATTGTGAAGGAAAAGAAGGCAAGATTGATAGGATACTCAAATTCTGACAGGTGTGGTGATAAAATCGACAGAAGGAGCACCTTAGGTTATACTTTCAAGTACAATGATGCACCCATTTCCTAGTGTACTTAGAAACAACCAATCACAACACTATCATCTTGTGAAGCTGGGTATATTGTTGGCACATTTGTTTCTTGCCAGACAATTTGGTTCGACTTTTTGATAAAGGAGCCAAAATATGAAGGGAAGAAGCCATTAATGCTCATGATTGACGAACAGATCAGACATAACTCTATCCAAGAATCCAATCTCACATGGAAGGAGCGAGCATATAGAGACTTGGTTCTATTTCATTAGGGAACAATTCAAGAAAGGAATGCTTGAGATCGTGTTTTGCCCAACAAAAGTGCAACTTGCAAATGGTTTCACAAAGGCATTGAAGAATTGATAGAATTGTGTTTTTAATAGAACAATTAGGACGGTGTATTTTTAGGTTTATAGAATAATAGAGGCGTGTTAATCCCTAAACACGTTTTCCAAGGTTGTTTGTGGCTTAACTAACAAACAAGTTAGTTTGTTGGGTTGGTTGAGATCATTGTTTAACCAACAAGACTCTTATAAGATGTTTGTAACCTTACTTTGATAATTCAAATTCAATGCATAAGTTAAAACATTGTAACCCATCATTCATCTTTCATTATTTGTGAATATTCTTAAACTTGTTTACACATTAAGAAATGCAAAGTTGCGCCAACATCGGCAACACGAAGACTCCCAAGAGATTCCACCAAATGCTTCTTGTTTCCAAAACACAATGGAGGTGAAAATTGTATGAACTTCAAACAAAAAACATCAGTTCATGAATAGTTCCCTATTTATTATTAACATATAACTGACCCTTAACACAATACCATCATAATAGAAATTTCTGTCATCCACAAGTTTTCAATTTTTATCACCATGTTTCATGAATCCTAATTTACTTTCTGGAAAGTTAGAAACACAATCCATAACACTATTCCAAGGAGAGTTAGGATAGAACACAACTTTGTGCACAGAACTTGATAAACTTTGTGTCTTTTGAATTGTATATGATTTGCATAGCTCAATAACCCTATAATTCAACAAGTTTCATATCATTGGAGAGCTGTCGTTACAGCTAAAAGGATATGATCATTTGCTGTCAGATAGAGGACTCAACAAACTCATTAATGGATGATCATTTGCTGTCAGATAGAGGACTCAACAAACTCATTAAAGGATGATTGTTTGGTTCTTCCAATTTGATCAACCAACCTATGGTATAAGAACATGCTAAATGGTTGATTGGTATAAAGTTATGGTTACTTTTAAACCCATAGTAGTCAAGTGAATCTAAATCTTATTTTAAACTTCATATATATCATGTATGCAAGTGACATTGGTATACTTTAGTAAAGAAAGTAATACATTACTAGCTAATCTTTCATCGGTTGGCACACTTAAATTGGACTCATCCAACTAGACTTTGAATAAAGATGCCTATTAGTTCGAGGATTGAATCCTATCAGCATAGCATCTTCTGGAGATTTTCTCGAGTCTCGACACATGTTTCTGTCTTGATTCATGGTCAATTGAGAATTTATTTTTTATAAACAAAACTATTTTCTACTCTGCTTGAGCATAACATGATAATGGTTTTCCTGATAAAAAATAATGATTTTAGATTTTCTAGTTCGAATGTGTCACAAAAATTTTAATTCGTCTGTTTAATCACAATTTCAAACAAAACATGTATCTTATGCTTACCGACAGAGTTAAACACGACACAGAAAGTAAGAATCAGCTCGATTTCAATTTGTAGTAAATGTGAAACACTCACCAATGATACAAGATTGTAAATAGTTTACAAAAGGGAGAAGGAGGCAGAATATTTATTTAAACACAGGGATCAAAGGGAAATTAGAGACTCAAATCTACAATGATTACCAACAGCGTAAAACATTTACATTATGATTTTGATGAATTAATGTGTTTTAGCATTACCTTGGCAGATTCGTGGGCAAAGTATTTTTGCCTAAGCATCACATATGGGTAGCCAACAAATGATAAAACATGTGCAGGCTTCGAAAAAGAAAGTATTTCATACCAAACTTGATTGTTCTCATCAATCTCAATTGAAAAGCGTTCTTCTCCCGCCTGTTGCCAAAATCATAACAAATTTCGAGTTAATCAGAGTACAATGCTTTTCAATAGCTTTGTTTATGAAAATGTCAAATACACATACTCCTAAATGCATGATAAAATCAAGCATGAGAGAAAAAGAAGTAACCAGTAAGTGGCCCTGAAGAGTTCCACTTCCAAAACCAAAGGAGGCGCCGCGGTTTTTGGTAGTTTTAGTTTCATTTACATACACAACCTGAAGTGGCATCATAAGCCAGGGAAGGAACTCCTTGACACAAATACAAAACTTGGCTCCTTGTTGTATTGGTGTTTTCGGATCAACAAATGCCCAATTCATTCCAAAATGCCTGCGACAAGCTTTCCATTAAAACAAAAAAACTCTCTAAAATGAATTTATTTAACAAATGAGAAAATCCCAGTACATCAATCATCCTTCAACATACCTCCAAGTTCGGAGAGCAGTTTTTCCCTTTTCAAAAGTATCAACACCAGTACCCATCAGAACTCTGGCATTATTAAGTAAAAAACCATCATTGGAAAAGCCTTTATCTTGTTCAAGGGAAGAGAAAGATTTAGCAGTAGCTCCTTTATATTTATCATCATAATTCAAAGTACCTGACCTGGTAAATAAATAATAATGAAATTCCAAAATGGGTTGTTAAGATTGAATGAATCATGTGCTACTTACTTGTTTATGCAACTTTCTTGATCTTGGCTAGTCGGGCGTACCCAGCTCAAGAAAACCATTCTCTGTTCAGCCTTTTCACAAACACGTCACGGGTTTTGTAATTAAAGGACACAAGTTTACGTTAGAAGATATACAAAAAAGTTAAATAAGAAAAAGAAGACAAACTTTTGCAAATTATTAATTTGTTGAAAATATTAATTAATTTTAAAATTGTGTAAGATATATTTATAAATTTCGAAAATTAAAGTTTATTTTTGGTTAGGAGTAAACCTCAAAATTTTAGTATTTGACAACTTTTTTATGTAAGAATTCTTATCTATAAATAAAGGAAATTACGTAACTTTTATTCTAAGGATATATCACGATCGTGACAATTATTTTGTTGAATTAATCTTAGTAATTTGTGTGTAAGAAATCGACACACACTTCAAAAGTTTCTCTTCGTCAACTGATATTATTTTGAATGTGTGAATGTCAATTAATATTTCATTGAATGTTAGGTCAATTAGTAGCATATGTCAAAAAGGTACACTATCCATATTAATAGTATGCATGCAAAAATTTGTTATTTCATACAATTGTACTATGTAATTCATCTGCTATGACGATTTTAATCCACTTGCCAAACCCTTTCATGTCTTCTTTAAGAATTATGACTTTTTGTTGACTCTCGGTCCTTTTCGAGAAAACTAAAATTTATCGAATAATAAATGCCCCTTATTTTTGCTTGTTTGACAAGCAGTCAAATTTTGAATTGTTTGGTGACTTAATATGTATATAGGGTACATATATTAGGTTACATGTCTTATCTGACACGAGTCCTATCAAGAGTTACATCTTTGAATCCATTTTAAAGTAGGGTGATGAGTACATGTCCTATTTTTGGGCATCACTGACTTCGTTGAAATATTTCAACATTCATTTAGGGTTAACGTTATGGTGGAAGCATCATCTTTGTTCTAGAGTTGTAACACTCATAACCTTTAATATCCTACAAAATATTTGGCCCAACATTCTTGGATGTGCCATCCATTGCCAATATTCACCCTAACGAGGAGGTGTTTACTGTGAAATTTAATAAACAAGTGCTATTATTTCAAAAAGGTTACTTGCAGGATTGACTAGTTAATTCTATAACATATGTGCATAAACTCTTGTGTTTGTCGCTTCTTTTAGAGATGTTCGACAAGCCCACAAAGCTTGATCCATGATCTTATGCCAATTTTTCTTCTTTCTTCCTACATGTCTTTTTATCAAAGTAATAATTACTTTGTTTGCGGCTTCGACCTGTCCATTTGCCTGGGCATAATAAGGCGTAAAAGTCAATAATTTGAATCCTATCTCTTTAGAGAATTCCCGCATCTTTCGACCAGTGAAGACAGATCTCTGGCGTAATACAGTGGGAGAACTGACTTGGTTTTGTGTTTTATCACAGATGTTGTGGATAGCAAGAGTCGCCATCGACTTTTCTTTTATCCAATAAGGAAAAGGTGAAAAGAACAGGAAAGACCTTTGAGATTTTTTTGAGTTCGGGGGATAGATTATAAAAAGGGAAGGTGTTAGCACCCTTTTCATCTATAGTTATCTACGGGCTCTTTATCGCTAGCTCACTTTGAAAATGCTCTGTGAATGGGTTTGAAAAATACTTAGAAATGCCAATAGTAAGGCAAGACTTTGTAATAATTCTCGTATCTTTCCTCGAGAATGCGTACAAAGTATTTTGAAAATATTTCTGAAAGTGTTTGTGAAAAAGATGTTTTTGTTTTGTTTGTGAGCAAGCGATTATGAACTATCTATCTACTCAAGGCATTTCATGTTATTTTTCTTCTCCTTTAGATAGTTCTATCCTACCATTAGTTAGTAGGAAGCCCTATCGTTGGATGTGAAGGGACAGGCGCGGGTCATCGTACAGTCGTCCAAGGCAACTTGTTAGGGCGCTTTAGCAATTCGTAAGGGACTAGATCGTTTACCGAAGGCAGTATCGAAAGGGTCATCGAGGGACTACGATCTTTTTAATCGAGGGACAATGCTAAAGCGTCCCCACGTTCGAGGGACATGATTGTTTTTATCGAAGGTAACAAGGGAGGTTACCCTAGAGGTGCTTGTGTGCAAATGATTTGTGTTTCAATTATTTTTAATCTTGTATTAGGGTTTGCTACCGTTTGCTTTTAAATTAGTTAAATAAATAAAAACCTAAAAATTAATTAGGGTTGATTAAATCAAAACCTAAAACTATTTACGATTTATATAAAAAAAAGGTTTTGAAAAAGGTTTTGTAAAAATAGGAAAAATAAGAGAAAGAGTAAGAAGAAAAGAAAATTCGGAGGAAAATAAACCAAAAAGGTAGGGGTGGGTGTTGAAATCACGCCCTCAACCAATACAAATAACATATTCACCCCTGGGCCAAGTGCGCCTTGGTGTTAAGGGAATGCAGCCTACATGTTTTTATCATCTGCAAAATAATAAAAATCAGAAAAATGTCAAAATGCCAAAAGGTTGGGATCAAACCCACACCTTGGCATAGTAAGTCCTTAACGCACGCGCTTCGACCGTTGGGGCGGCAATACATCCATTAATTTAATTGAAACAAAAGGAACAAATATTCAGCAAAAAGACATAGACTGGAGAGACGCTGGAGCCCTAGCTTCGGTCTTCTTCTCTGGTGAATCAATTCTTTGTCCCTGCAAAATAATAACCATTAGAAGGCCAAAAGTACCATACCCCCTAAATCGAGGGCTGCGAGTTCAATAGGATAGTTATTTTGGACTGAGATGGCCTGGTTTGAGAGGTATAATGAAAACGATATGGATCGGTACAAACATGGCATATCAATATTTGGATTGCATGAGATCCTTATGATGATACAAACTTGTACAAACACATCTCGGAAACGTATTAATGGCATCATATGACTTAAAACAAAATGAATATCAAAGTATGAGTTTTGCAAAGATCATGGAATCAGATATGAATTCATGTGAGTTTCCTGATCTTTGGACCATCAAACTTGATCCATTCTTACTCTTTATGTTTGTTAGGAGTGAATGAAGTGGCCAGTTTGTAGTGAAAGGGACTATGAATAGGGTTTCAAGTTTTTTAGGGTTCTTGAAAAATTTGCGATTTTGGATAAGTTTCTTGAGATAAGGGTTTAGTGCTTTGCTTTTATGAAGAGTGCATAATATATAGCATGAATTAGGTTAAAGATAATATGAGCTTGGACTTTGTGTAAGAAGCCTTGTATTTTATCTTATTTATTTTTGAAATATTAATGAATAAATCAAAATAATTAAAAATAAAATAGATCAAGGGGTGCATGAACAAGATCTAAGGTGTATAAAGAGTGTAATACACGCTTGGATTCTAAAACAATGGCCCAATAGCCCAAAATATCAAGTTTGCTCAATTTGGACTTCATGCATTTGCTCAAATTTTCCCAACTTGCACTGGTCATAACTCTCTCAATTTTCATCTTTTGAAAGTGATCTTAGACTTTTTGGAAAGCTCAAGATGTCCTCTACAATATCTATTTTTATCATTTGAATTTGGAGACTTTATCTTGATGTAAGTTTTCTTGACAAAAAGTGTCTTTTTGTTGACTTTTAAAATGACTTGTAATATATTGGCTCATATCTCTCAAATGAAACATTTTTTGGACTTGAGCTTAGAGATATAAAGTTGTATAGAATTGAATTTCCTTCAAAGTGATATTTGGTTAGGGCAATATTGATGAAGCATATGAAAATTATGCTTGGTCAAAATTCAGTTGACTTCTTCTAAGAAAACCCTAATTTGGCAACTTTTGACTTTTGATGATTTGAGAGTTTCTCTTGATGAATCATGATCAACCCTTGATCAAATGATGAATGTGACTTGAAAATGTTGATGTTGACACAAAATCTTGAAGTTTGACTGTTTGTGGACCACAATTGACTTTTTACCTATTATAGTTGATTTTTAGTCATCTGAGCAATTGATTGAGCAAACATGTGATGCAAGACTTCAAACTTGGAGTGAGCATTCTTTGAGACATATGAGAAACCAAAAAATCCACTTGAGGCATTAGAAACCGAATCTTCCTTGAGAAAGATGAAACCCTAGTTGTAGGTCCATTGCTTAGGAGGAGAATTTGTCTGATCAACTCTTGAGCATCCTTGAGAAAATGAAAACCCTAGGAGCATGAGGAGATGTCTTGAAGAAAATTGGAGGGAAAATTCTTGGGTACAACATCTGCCCCTGTTCAATCTTCTTAAACCCGAGGAGTTAGATTTGCATGTTTGCCATTAGTGATCTGAAGGTAGAAGAGGATTGAACACTTAAGTGCCCAGAAATTTGCACTCGCATGTGCAGGAAGTAACATTGTTGGTTGGTAATATTGCTTGAATGGGCGGGCTTAAAGATGCCATTCAGAGATATAACAAAGTATCATCAGAGATGGGCTTATAGATGCCATCCAAAGTAACTATTGATAGAAGTATAAGAACGAGTCTATGCTCGACTGTATTTGAAGAATGCTTTCCAGAATGAACCTCTGGGAAAGGTGTTTAAGTAGTTTCTTGTCATATTTAGTCTCTGAGAGAGATGTTTATCATGTAGATGATCACCCCGTCCTGTTTCGAGAATTGATCTACAATCTGCTTTTTGTTGGTAAACCGTCCTGTTTCGGGAATTCATACCACCTGGCCGTGTCGATAGATTCCCTGTCCTGTTTCAGGAGTTAATCTTTTTCCTGATTATAAATATAGTTTCCCCGTCCTATTTTGGGAGTTAATCTTTGCTCGATCGTATAGATAGTTTCCCCGTCTTGTTTCGGGAGTTAATTTGTGACATGTTTGAGAATTGTTGATGATATTCATCCGTATGTATACTTTTACCTAAAAATATAAGGATTTAGTTGTATGAAATATCATGCTATATGTGATTCATTGTGTAATGATGTTCTCGAAGTAAATGGGAGTGTGCTATATGTGTTTCGTGTGCATATATTATGATGCTCGTAAATGACGTATGGATGCAAGATGCCGTTCAAGCACATCGGTAGCTTCGTGTAATATCTTGGTTG